CCTCACGAAAGCAGTTAGGACCAGGGACTAGTTCGTCCACAGCACGCTTCCTGCCTGCAGCACCCACCTGCGCCGAGTCCTCGCTCTGGTGCAGTGTGCACTCGGCTAAAGCAGTCCTGCACTCAGTTGCGTTCCTTACCAGCAGGCTGGAGCCAGTTGAGCTGCAAGAACTGTGTCGCTTATCTTGAGCTGCGAGGAGGGGAGGCCCACTTCCAAGCAGGAGACAAGCAGACGGGAGAAGCCCTGTCTGAGGCGCAATTTGCACAGGAGCTAAAGCTGGGATTGAACCTGTTTGGGCCTCTTGCGAAAGCAGTTAGGACCAGGGACTGGTTACTACACAGCAAGCTTCCTACCTGCAGCACCCACCTGTAAACCAGGGCTTGAGCCGAGACCTTGAGCCAGGAGCAAACTTTTCACACCCCCTCATGCCCGAGAGTCCTCTTCACTTCTCCTCAAAGGTCTTCTTCGCGTTCTTCAAGAGAGCGAATCCTAAACCCGCTGGATACACACCTGACTCAGGAAGAGGAAGGTAGTAGTGGCCGTGTCCCTCAGAGCACTGAGACGAAAGTCCCCACACAAATTCTGTGCGGTTAGACACAAACCACCATCTTTTCCAAGGTCGTTGGTCACCCTTTTCAAAGCAACAACGATCCACAAGGCAACCCTGATCCAAACGAAGCTTCTTAGAAACCCTCTTAAACACAGTCTCATCCCACAGTCCTGACCTCTCAGGCCACTCGTGAGAAAGCAGAAGGTTCGGGGAGCCCACGTAAGGCTCCAACAGCTTCTCGATCCTTTTCCAGGACCTCTTGTGAACGGCCAGAGCCGCTCTCCACTTCTCCAGGGCTTTTCCTCCCTTCTTAAACCTCAGGTGCCTTAAACCACACCCAGCAGAGCACGGATCGAGTAGACAGGTGAGCATACACCTTGACCCCACCTTCAGCTACGACTCCGAAAACTTCTCTCAGAAGACACAAGCCATTATAGCTCAGAAGATCAACCTCCTTAGTCACCCCAAAGTAGGCGATCTCGGGGACCTTCGAGCAGGCTTTGGACAACGCGCTTCCTTCTTCACAACACAGTTCAACCACTACGTACTTAGCTTCACCGCGAGCTAGCTTCAACGCAGCGGCTTTCCAGGAAGGCGGAACAGACGGAGTAAAACGTTCGTTTTCATTGGGCTCTTCAAAAGACACGTGCACCTCAGTAGGCTCACTCTCCCAGGCCTTCGGTTCATCTACAAGGCCAGAGGCATCGTACAAGCTAGCCAAACTTTCGTTAGTAGGGCTCTTCGTGAGGGCGTCCGCAGGGTTTATCACTCCGGGTATGTGTTCTATGGTAAAACGACCCCTGGCCACCAGCTCCTGAAGGAATGCGGCACGAAGTTCGATGTGCCTCACTTTCCTCAGGAGGGTCTGCATCTTAGATATACAAACCGCCGATTCGGAATCAGAATATCCCTTAAGAACATAATAACCGGTTTCCCTGTCTTTCGGCATACCCTCGCGGATGGTCTCCACAAGCAAAGCAATGTACAACCCTTCACGAGCAACCTCTGTGAGTGCAGCGAGTTCAGCTTCCGCACTGGAGAGTGCGGTAGTCGTTTGTTTCCTGCTGAAGCTTTTCAGGGAACAGTTCTCCCACGTGATGATTCCGCCGCTTACCGAATTCAGACTCCAGCTCGCGTCCGTAAAACAAGATACAGAGGCAGGGTCCGCATCATCTTCCAAGATCTCCCTTTTGCTCGGAAACCTCTGGACCTTGTGCGGAAGACCCTTGACCCAACGAAGGACATCCCTCATACAGGTCTCGGCAGCCTCGTCAGGAGCTGCTTGGTGGCGGCCCAGAAACCCACACACAAACTGCAGGTCTGGTCGTGATAAAGCCGCCCAGGCCAAACGGCCCAGAGTCCTTCTGTACCTTTCGTGAGCAGCTGGACTGATCGGCTCAGTCTGGCCTTTCTTCAGCAACTCAGCATAGCGGCGTTCAAGGGAAGGGAGCTTTGGTGCAGGTTTGGTGATTCCGTACTCCTCGCAACAGGAACTCAGGTACTGTTCGTCTAGCCCGAAATACACCGTACGTTCCCCTTTCTTACGGCGAAAGATCCGCCGACCGAGAAACGAGACTTCCCCGGGGCAATCTTGAATCAACTCGCCCGTAAGTTTCAGTTTGTATCTTTTACGCAACTCCTCGTAGAACCGGCGCCCCTCAGCTTCATCTTCACTATAGATCAGCAAGTCATCCACATAAAACAACACAATCGTCAAACCCTTCCTCGTAAGACGACGGAATATAGTGGGATCCAAACTTGCTTCGAAGTTCTGAGAGCGCAAGTATTCAGCCAACTCGCAATACCAAGATAATGGAGCAGAGCGCAATCCGTTCATCGCTTTCCGCAATTTGACGAAAACTCGTTCCCCAGTCCCCTGGGTGCTCACATTATTCGGCAACTCTACGAATTCTGCCCTCGCTACGGGAGCATGCATGAACGCTACCGAGACATCGCAGGACAACACACTGCCACGTCGGCAGAGCATTGATAGAAGCAATCTCAGACCCTCCAATGAAGTAGTAGGAGAGTAGATTCCCTCACTCAAGGTGGTGCCTCCCATAGAGGCATAATCCCGCACGACTAGCCTAGATCTATACAGTCCCTTCTTCTTGACCGTGTTGACCCACCTGCTAGTCAAAACTCGCCTGCCGTTTTCCTTAGCAAGACGGCGAGCTTCGCGCTCAGGGATCACTTCCCCAACCTTAAAGGACTCCAACTCTTCCAACTCAAGCTTCATTGATGCGTAAAGGAGGTCGGGTTCTAGCTTCTCTCCCGAAGTCTCAGAAACAGCGTCCTGGGGAACAGCACACCTTATCTTTGTACCCCCAAACTTCAAATCAAACGACTTTGCGACTGCAGTGGAGGCGGCTCGAAGGTCAGGCCCTCGAAACAGGGACTCAAGATAGTGATTCGTGAGCCAGTCTATTTCCATATCCCCCTCATCGTTCACAACCTCCTGGTTCTCAGGCGCTTCCGAAGGAGAATAGTCACCAAGCTCATCTTCGATCATCTCTTCATCACCATCTTCATCCATTCCCACACCCGCCCCCTCATCAGGAGCATCATCACCAGGAGCCTCCAACGGATCAAACAGTATGGGCCTCTCGGGGTCCTCAGTGTCCTGCAGAAGAGGCTTAGCTAAAGATAGCTCTTCCAGGGTCTTGGCATCGTAGATGTCACCTCCCTGAATCATTCTGGCGACGGGGAATATATCTATTTCACTGCTTCCGACAGGGACGGCAAAGATGCCGCCACCTTTGGCGTGCACCGGTCCCAGATAAACCGCTTTCACGGTCCGGGCGCCCCTGAACTTATCATGGTGCGCCTTGGACTTACTGACCTGAGCTTGAACCAGACACCCGAACGGTCTCGTCCGAGTTCGGTTCACAATCTCCTCATGCAGTCGATCTATGCTAGTGCTCGAATCCCCGACGCTGGTACACCAGAGGTTATAGCACCTAGCAACATAGAAAACACAGGCTTGCCAAAGCAAACCTCCCAAAGGTAACCGATACTTCCCAAGCTCAACGGCTTCCGTTTCCTGCTTCACCTTAGCAACCTCTTTCTCCAGGTCCAACCAAACAGACCAGAAACCCTGCTTCATAGTTTCAACCTGCCGCTCAATCGATCCCTTCGACTGGGGCCTGTAGCCCGGAACCACGTCAATCAAAGTTGCGCTGGCAGGGCTGCTATCGCACTTGGTGAGTTTCTCGGCAAGGGCTCCAAGAGCCGCTTCTTGGTCCATCCGAAATGTAACCGCTTTACCGACTAATCCCATTTCGCGAATCACACGGTTGATGTTGTGGAGCAGGTCAGGGTCATCGAGGTGCATCGCAGGAAGAGAGACAGTATACTTAGAACCGAGGTGCATCATCAAGAGTACCCTCAGTTTTCCGAAATAGAAGAAATCAAGACCTATGGTCTGGTTCTCTCTCTGCAGCTTCCTCCTCAAGCGACGCGCTGGAACGCGCCCTTTCGAAGAACAACACGCTTCACAATTGGAATCAAACGGAAAATGCCCTCGGCTCCGATGATTATACAACGACACAGAAGAAAGAGGAACCCTCAGGTCCTCCTCGTCCTCAGGTCCAACCGGGTCGTCAGGGGGTGTTGGACCCTTTTCTTTTCGAGGTTTCTTGGAAGAGCCAGGGGCAGACCCTAACGGTTCAGGGTCCTCATCGAAGATTCCTTCAGGATCTAAAGGATTACGACTAGAAGCTTCAGGTTTTGAGGAAGTTTCGGGAGCAGGTCTCGAGGAAGGTTCGGGGTCTAAGTCAAACGGATCAGAACGTGTACCGGTCCCTGGCGACGGTAAACCTCTAAAGCGCACGGCTCGGAGCACGTGCTCAACTTGTTCCGTCTCCTTTGCCGGGGCCGGTTCATCATCTCCGGCACAAAGCATGCCAAACATGCCGCAACATGCGCACTTCAAGTTTTCACAGACATGCTCACAAACGCGCTCCCCAAAACCTTTCACCTCACGACTCAAAAGAAGTTTCCTACTCACCTCGACGCGGGCCCAACGGTCCCGCAGCTTAATCCTAAAGTAGCTTCCGCGTTTTCTAGAAAACACCCTGTAGCACTTCCGTGGCCTCTTTCGAGAAACCACTTTCCTGAAACACCGAAGTAACCCTGAAGAAACCCACAAAGCTATACCCCAGAAGAGGCTGTAGACCGTCAGGGAGCACGATGATACCAATATCCAGTCCTGGCGTGAAACCATTCCTGAAAGCGGCCGTGGTTTTAAAGGTGCGGGTTTCGAAGGTAGGAGGGTTCGAGGTACGTTGGGTTGGTCTTCGAGCAAACTCAACATGCCACAGACCATGCCAACGCTCATGCCACACAACATGCTGCTGCAAAACGTGCTGCTGCAAAGTGTGTTGCTGCAAAACGTGCTGCTGCAAAGCGTGCTTTTGCAAAACACCCCTCGTTGCGGATCGCCGCAGATTCACTCCAACAATCTCTGGCCCTCTTCGAGGGCTTGCCTCACCTGCGCAGTCAATTGACTGTGGCTTAAAGATGGCGGGCTGAGCACAAATGCCCGTTCCTGGGCAGTCTGTCCGGTGGCAGAACCACTCGCAGCCGCACTCATAGCCCTCGGAGGCGTTGGTAGCCGAGATCTTTTTGGAACCGACGGCGGGATGTTCACGCCGTGCCTTCGATAGTCCTCCCTCTGCATTCCCTCCGGAAGCGTAGGTGCCGAGACCCTCGGGAGGTTGAATGCCGTAGCCACCAGTTCTCCAGGTGGCATTGAGGAAGCCGGGCTCGGCGGCGCCGGCTGTCCCGCCTCGGCGGGCTGATTTCCCTCGTCGGCCGCCCCAACATAGCCATCCAATTGGGACAACCTCTGGCCTGTAAGTTCTTCCAATGTGCGCCATATGGCGAGGTCGGATAAATCTTCTTGGCCCTGGGCCCTGTTCAGCGCAGTAAGTTCCCCTTCTCCAAGGAGCAAGGACTCCTCGTCGGAGCTCGAAGAGGTGGTGTCCACTACACCACCCTGAGGGATCGCTGCCGATTTGGCCCTTGCCGCTCGCATGGATTCCCGGGCCTCGTGGAGGCGCTCCTCCTCTCGTTTTCGCCTGTAATATCGGGCAACACGGAGATATATGCCCGAATCTAGGAACGCCCAAGCCGTTTTGAGCTCGAGCGAGGTGACCGACTGGGGCACCTTTACGAGCAGACTCGAACGTCCTCCCACCAGTCCCTTGTATCCAGCAGGCGTAGCCAAATAGGTTTGCAAAACGGCTCGACAATGGAAGATATAGTGGAGCATAGACACAGGGTTGGGTTCCTGAAACCTTCGCTTCCACGCTGCCCGAGCGGCCCGTGGAGCCTCCAGAAGTTCGGTAACCCTGACAGCGAACTCCACATCTACCATATGAAGCCCGTACTCTGCCAGGCTCTTGCCCTCTAGGCAACGTCCCAACCAAACCTCCCATTCCTGCTGCCCAATGATACATTGGGCTTCCGATTCCACCATCTTCGGCCTCGAAGCCCTCACTGGCTCCTCCGGATAGGCCGCTGTCACAGGAATCACCGGAGTGGCTGGTAGCCAAGCAGCTGGATGCTCTAGGTCGGGCAGGCCTATCGGACCAAGCATCGTCGCCGCCGGAGAGCAAAGTGCTCTCAAGGCGTGTCCTGGCGCACAGAACGCCAGGGATGGGGCATCGTAGGCATCTTCCATGTTCGCTGGAATCCCCGCCAAGTGCGAGAGCAACGGAATAGGCTCGGTAGAGTCGACCGAGACCTTTGCAAGGCCCAGCGTTTCCGCATGCTCCCATCTGCGGCCAGCCTCCAGCCTCAACGCCCTCAGGAGGAGTTGGGTTCCCACATCCATCTGAACCGCACCAAAAGGAGGGCTCAGCGAGCCCGGCGAGATATTCGCCGGGATTCCAACCCGCGACCGCCACCGGCGACGATGGTCCCCCACCCGGCGGCTCTACCCCCGGTAGTTCGAAAGAGGGGCTCTCCAAAGCCGGTGGAGTAGGCGGATTCCCAGGAGAGCCTGGGCTGCTCAAAGCAACACTCGGGGTAAACTCGTCCCCGCTGGCACCGTCCATTATGATCTCCAAAGGGAGACCTCTCTTCACCACAGAGAAAAACGGCTGCAGATGAATCGTGCGCAGTGCTAGCGCAAACATTCGGCAACATCAGCGTTTGCAAAATCAAGCCAAGCATGCCAACATGCCACTGTTTCCTAGGTTCACGCAGCTGTTTCCTAGACTCACACAGTCGCTTCCTAGGCTCACGCAGTTGCTTCCTAGGCTCACGCAGTTGCTTCCTAGGCTCACACAGTCGCTTCCTAGGCTCACGCAGTTGCTTCTCAAGCTCAGGCAGCTGCTTTCGCAATCCTTTTCCTACCCTCTTGTGGCTGAAGGGTCTGTCTTCTTCACTTGCCATCGAGCAAGACCCAACCAGCTGCAATGCTACCATCAGCATCGCTCTCAGAATACTGCGAATCTGGAACCTCGTCGTGGGCACGTAGCCATTGCAGCCCCGACCAGTGCTGTATACAGGCCCAGCAATAATGATGGGTGTGCGCAGGTTTGCGTCTGACGCACCCCTGCTTTCCGCACACTTCGCACCGGCACTCGCATTCTGGCTTTGATCCGCCCAGATAGTTTCCCATAGCAGGAAAAAGAGGCGTATTCTGAGTCTTTCTGCAAAAGCCGTAAGGGTAAAAGCCCGCTCGAGCACAGCAGCAAAAACCCACTGCGCTTGCACAACCATGTCTCTCATGAAAACATGCCATCGCAAAACCATGGAAAAACATGCCAAAAACATGCAAAGCACCATGCCAACATGCGACTGTTTCCTAAAATCAAGAGCCATGCCAACATGCGACCGTTTCCTAAAATCAAGCGACATGCCAGCATGCACCTGTTTCCTAAAATCAATCGCCGCGCCCTGCCTAACGTCACTAGACTCTTCTAGAAGATCACAAAGCTCAATCTCCCGTGGTGCAGGCGCTCTTGGAGCAACTTCCGCCCTAAGACCCCGAAGCAGAAACCCAAAAGGAGTGGCAGCCAAAGCGTGGCGGCCAGACTCGTCTTCTTCCGAAGTCTTTCTTCCTTTCTTCAGGATTCCTTCTCCAGGCTTCTGGGGTCCTGCGGTGGACTCCTTGCTCGATCCTAGCAGGTCGCGGTCCTTCAAGGCATCTATCTCCATGTCCTCGATCCCTTTCGGGGGGCGTCTGGAAGAATTCTCTTTCCCCCGGCCCTTGGACCTCCCGCTCAGAGCCCACCAGGCACGCGAAGCGCCCATCAGCTTGATGCTCTTCTTTCCGTTTCCTTTGTACAATCGTGATCCCGATTTGGCAAGATAGGTTTTCCAGCCCCGTTCCGACCCGGTCCAAGGCGAAACAACGTTGAACCCAACATCCGCCACCAAGACCTCTTCCAACCTCAGGAAAACGTCACCAAAGTGAACCTCAAGGTCGACAACCCCCGATACGACGATCGCACCACCCGAGGCATTGAACAGATTGGCCGTTCGGTCGTACTTCTTGACAACACGAAATCCTGAGAGATGTTTGTCAGAAACAATGTGGCAGGTGGCTCCACTATCAACTAGCCACAGGTCCCCAGGAGTAGTCTCGAGGGCCTTGCAGACATGAGCTACGTCGCCGTACTTCAACATACGGGATCCTAAGGAGCCCATAGACTCAGAACCTCGACTCTCAGACCCAGGCGACCCTTCGGGTCCTGAACCCGGCTTCGGAACTACAAGGGCGGACGGCTCAGGCTTCTCAGGCTGTCTCAGAACACGGCGTTCCGAAGAAGAGGGCTCCGAAGAACCACGCCCAGGAAAGGAAAACCTCATCGCCATCACTGTGGCGCTTCCTCCCGACTCGGCCTCGGACTCCGGCTCTGTCAAGGAGCGTCCCTTTCCAGGCTGTCCCTTCTTCTTCTTCTGCTTCTTGCCTTTGTCCTTTCCTTTGTCGCCTTTTCCTTTGTCGCCCTTGCCCTTCTCGGAACCACGGGGTGTGCCAGATCCCTTGGGAGTCTGGTCGCCTTTGCCTTTCGGCTTTCCTTTGTCTCCTTTCCCTTTGCCCTTCGGAGCACCACCGCGTTCACGTTCTTCCTTTTGGCGCTGCCAACACTTGTCGGCTGTGTGTCCCTTCTTCCCGCAGTAGTCGCAAAGCTTCTCCTGCAAGGCTCGGCCCGAAGACCCAGGGGCCTCACACAGTCGCAGCTGCTCCTCGTAGTAAGTCAGCGTCCTTCGAAGAGCTTCCCAGTTCGAGCTGGACCCGTGCAGTACCACGTACTGACGTACTTCTGCACCCAAGCTCTGTAACAGGACAGAGCAGCGATCAGCCTCAGACAGCAGAAGCTCCGGAAAGTTGCTCAGCTTCGCTTCAGACTTCGAAAACGAATCCTCAAGATGTCGAATCAAGTCGGTGGGCCTCTTCAAATGCCCAACGTGCTGGTACAACTTCAAAGCCTGTTCTCTCACGAAGACAGCTTCCATCCGCGACACGATGGAGTACTGAGAGGTAATCGTTCTAATCACCTCGTAGCCGCAGGCGCTCTGCCCCTGCCTCTTCGAGCAGGACCTCAAGAGCTCGCTTCCCCGCTCCCACTTGGCGAGGGACTGCGTCAAGTAGTAGAACAGCTTGGAGCTACGCGCGGCAGTCTCGGGATTCAAGTCAGCTTGCACAATCTCCTTCTTCACAGGGATACAAAGCTGCAGTTCCCGAACAAACGCTTCTTCCTGCAGGGCAAGCCAGGAACTCAGCGTCTCCATAAAGGAGTGCCAAGTCTCTACCTCCTTCATGCGCCCTTTCCCCATGCCTTGATGGTCTATCACCGGAATTCCGGAGCTGCCGAACTAGCGGCAGAACTGCTCGCGGGAGCAGTGCTCGGCTGGAAGGGGTCCCGAGTCTTAGCTGCCTCTGCTGCCTGCTTGGCCGCTTCAGCTGCCTCAAGAACTTTCTCTTCCGCTTTGTTCCTTCTCTCTTCCTCCAGATCCATTCTCCGGAGCATCGTCGCAACGAGCTGCTGGTTCATTGCCATCATCTCTCTCTGCTGACGAAGCAATTCCATCATGAATCCAGGCATCTGCTCAGGCGTAAAACCTGCAGAACCAGAGCTGCTACTCGGAGCAGCAGCTTTCGGACTCTGAACAGGTGGAGCCGACGCCTTTGGACTTTGCACAGGAGGCACAGTAGTACCAGTCGGCGAACCCGCCGCTGGTTCTGAAGGCTGTGCTTGCGTAGGAGCAGGAGCCGGACCATGGACAGGAGCAAACGGATTCGCTCCCTGCTGAGCAGCCGCTTCACGCTGCCGCAGCTGGTCCTGGACCAAAAAAGCTCGAACTCTTCTTCTGCAGTGGTCTCCGGCACAGGAACGTCTGCCATGGCTTTACTAGGAACGCACTCAGCGCTCCGCTTACCACGTGAAAAACATCGACGTTGGAGCCGATGGCGTCTTCCCCATCTGGGGTGAGAGCGACACTCCACGCTTGAGCCAAACACCGAAGTGTTCAGCAAGGTCTCTTGCGGAGTCTCGCGCAGCAAATTCCGTCTCAACTTTGCTAAACAAAGGAGGAATGACATGCAACTGTTGCCGGACCTCTCTCTTGTGCAGCAGGGTGTTCGCCACAATCGATCGTCTACAAGAAAGCTGATTCAAAATCGAAAAGGGTGTTGAGCCTACAGCCTCGGACCAAAAAAGATCGATGGGGCTCAGGGCCGCGGACACAACGATCTTCGGCCTTTTCGCCTCAAAATTTTTCTCGCAATCGGAGCTCGATGATTGTGAAGTTCATCAACCATGAACGGGGCTGGGGGACGGGATAAAGCCACGGTGGTTGCCTCAGTGGTTGCGACGGCGGCTGCTGCAGTGGGTGCCACGGTGGGTGCGACTGTGGGTGTGAGTGGGTGCGAACGTGGGTGCGCCCGTGCAATCAACGCAACGCGTGACATTGGGTTGACAACTAGGTTGACAACTGGGTTGACAACCAGGTTGACAAGGTGGACAACTCGGTTGACCTAGGTTGACAACAGGTTGACAACTGGGTTTAAGGCCGCCATATCGTCGCGGCCTCTCTCTTGTGTGGCAGAGTGTTCGACCCACAATCGATCGTCTACAAGGAAGCTGATTCAAAATCGAAAGGGTGTTGAGCCTACAGCCTCGGACCAAAAACGAAAGATCAATCAATAGGCTCAGGGCCGCAGGACGCAACTTCGGCCTTTCAGCCCCAAATTTTTTGGGACGAGCGAATCGCAGAGGATAGAGAAGAACCGGGCTACGACCACACCGACCAGGGGAGACCCTGGAGGAGGATAGCGTCACGGATAACGAGCTGGAGGCTACACCGTGGCAGGGGGAGGCCCCGGAGGCTACCTGGTCTAGCGCCGGGCCGCCACCCGAACGGCTAGACATGCTACACGAGATGATGGCTAAGCTCAAGGAGCTAGAAGCGGAGGTCCGCGGCACGGCTACCCCTGTTGCTAGGCAAGAGGAGCCCCATCCTGGGGCAGAGGAGGCCAGCAAGGGGATAGCACAGCGGCGAGGCCCCAGAAGCTGGCTAGGGACCCGCCGACGGTCCAAGAGTCCAAGTAGTTTGCACCTCGGTTTGCTGGAAGACTTTGTGCCGACTTGGCTCAAGACCGGAACTGCGTGTGGAGTGCAGCAAAACGAAGGTCTCTGTCCGAGTGTTGTGCTTGGTAAAGGGGTTTTGCTGGGGCTTGTTGCAGTTTCGTTCTTTTTCGTGGTAGCGGAGCGTGTTTGATCCTCGGGGACGCACGCTTGACCGCTTTGAGAGAAGTGAGCCCAATACGCAAGTTTTACAACTGAGTTGAGGGTTTTCGTTGCGTCGGTGAAGCATGGAAGGGCGAGGAAGACCGTCGTTTTATGACATGACTAGGGATGATGACACCCCTGGAGTTGTCAGGCGTTCGAGTCGTGGCTCTGATATGCCATACCCGGAGAGACGAGCGAGACCTTCTTCGGTTCCTAGAGGAGCGGGGTTTGGACCTGCTTACAGTCCAATATCCCACCTTTCCGCTGCAGGGTCGCCACCAGGGTTCCACCCAACTGGGTCTCCTGCGGGGTCACAGCCGGGAACTCCGATTCCTCCTACTGGCTCCTTTACGGTTCCACCGGGGTTAGTACCGTCACCAGTGCCGAGCGCTCAGGGCGCGGCGCCTTCACACATGGAATCGCTGTTGATGCATACGGTGCAGGAGCAGCAGAAGCAGATCAGCCAAATGGTCACGCTAGTTGAGGGTTTGGTGTCGAGGGAAAGCCAGAGGGAGACCAAGGGAAAAGGGACTGGAAGCCTGTCCGACATCTCTGGTTCTTCCATGGATGTTGACGAGGGTGCTCCTATAAGGAACCCCAAGGCTGAAGCTTACATCCCGAAGCTGCCTTCTTTGGATGGGACTAGGATGGCAAAGGGCAGGAGAGCTGAGATTGAAACCTGGGTTGAGTACCTGGAAGTTTTCCTTCCATGGCTAGCGTTGTTTGATGACCGTATCCCAGGGGAGATTCAAGCCTATATGACCAAGGATAGCACCATCCAGAACAGCAGTTTGTCGAGGGGTGAGAGCGTGAGGAGCACGAGGGTTTTCCTTTATCTGCGTCAGAGTTTTGGGGCCTACCCAAGGGGTCTCGATGTTTTGAAGCAGGTTGAGAAGGAGCAGCTTGGCGCACCTGCGGGATATGAAGCTATGAGGCGACTCCATTCGGAGCTCAGTGTGTGTAGCAGGATAGAAGCTAGTTCGCTGAGGGAAGAGATCCTGAAGTTCACTGTGCCCAAGGGTTCTGTGAGGCCCCTCGAGGTCTTTCGCTGTGTGCAGGTTGAGCTGGCCAAGTACCAGCGACTCACGGCAGCGTTTGGGGACTTAGGGTTGACCGAGGCAGACAGGTGCATGGTAATGCTTAGGAATCTGGACACCGAGGTGAAGAAGTACATCTTGCTTCATGCTAAGATTGATTCCATTGATCAGTTGGAGACCGCACTCAAGTTTTATGATGCGAATTTGAAGATCTTGATGTTCCAGGAGAAGCCTGGCGGGAAGGGGGATCATGCAAATCAGCTCCAGTTTGAGAAGGAGAAAGGAAAAGGAAAGGACAAAGGAAAGGACAAAGGAAAAGGAAAGGACAAAGGAAAGGAAGGAAAGAAAGGAAAAGGAAAGGACCAGAAGGAAGGCAAAGACAAAAAGAGCAATGGGAAGGAAACCCCGAAGGGTGGCAAAGGAAAGGACCAAGGAGCGGCGGTGACACCGCCCCCAGGGAACGGCACACAGAAGAAGTGTTATGTCTGCCAAGAGGTCGGCCACTTTGCAAGGGATTGTCCTTTGGTTGCTCAGGCTCAGGGTGCTGCAGGGAAGCAGGGTAAGGGAAACCAAGGGAAGGATCAGAACAACAGGGCAGCCACGGTTTTGATGGAGCCGGAGTTGTGTGCCGCTGTGCATCACGTGATTCATGATAGGGAGGAAGACAGTTTCTCCGAGACGTCGCTTGATTTTTCCGATTGTGATTGGGAGAATTTTCAGAACAGTGTTTTGGAAGAGCCTGTGGTGGAAGGCCAGGGTTCCGGCGACCAGGGTTTGCGTGATGAGGGTCCAGGGTTTCTGCGTGCCAGCGAGGGTCCTGTACAGCATGTAGTAGCAGTAGCAAGCAGCACCGAGAACACCCAACACAACAACAGCATGCTTCCTCATGTGCATCATGTTTCTGCAGTTGCCCGCGCCGCCGCCCATGGAGAGGAGGTGGACCATGTCTTGCTCGACTCAGGAGCCTCTGTGCATCTGATCGCTGAGAGCATGTTTTCCAGTGGGTCTGCAGAGTTTTTGGAAGCATTGGGTGATAGCGGTGTTGGCTGTGTCACGGCAACCGGGGAGGACATTCAGATTAGAAGGCGTGCTAGGGTTAGGGTTAGGTTGGCCTTGGCCTCTAGCAACGGATCTCCTCCTACAGGTTCAGTGCCGGTGACTTTTGAAGCTTTATCGCACCTGTGCGTTATAGCCTTCTGTCTCTGGGCCTCCTTTTGAAGAAAGGTTGGGATGTAGATTTCAGCAAGATTCGGGTTTTGGGTCCCAGTTCGCGAGGGAAGCCCGGATGCAAGCTGTACGTAGAGAGTTTTCAGAACTGTTTCTGGTTGTCTGCAAGCCGTTTTGTGCCCGAGAGCACCCGCCTGCGTTTTCAGCTCCTGACTGCTGCGGTGCAAGATGAGCAGCAGCTCGGAAGAGGAGGTTCCAACGTGGCGCCGCCCAGAGATGCTGGGAGAGGGCCAGGACCGCGAGGGTCAGGGATCTCTGTCGAGCGAGGGTCAGGGGTTGCAGGGTCAGGTGCCGCGTCCCAGGGTCGAGGGTCTGTTGGAGCCAGGGTTGCCAAGTGTGATGGGGACAGAGGGGGTTCGCCTGAAGCCGGGTCCTCAAGCCGTTCATTCGGTACCGCCTCTGCTTGCGCAGCTGGCAACGGATTATGCTTCAACGTCGGGGGAAACTAGGAGATGGACAGTGCCGAGAAGGAGACCGAGGACCAGGGAGCAGTTCAGTGCAGAGTTTCCTCTGCTCAGCATATCGGTGGCAGCCGGCTTCTTCGAGGTGCGGACACGCTCTTTGGTTCCCCTGTCGGACGAGATCACCTACAGGTCGGAAGGGATGCAGGGCACGGAGCCACCTATGGAGCTGCCGGTGCCGCCCCCTCCTCCGCTTCCAGAGTGGACGGCTATGCACCAAGCGCCTCCGGAGCCATCGAGCGGGTCAATGGAGAGCCCGACCATGGTGCAGCAGACGCCGCCGCCTCTTCCTCGAGGCCCGCCGCCAGTCCGAGCACCTT